TTTATGATATTCAAGAATATCGTAAATAACAAAATTATAAAATATCTAGTATATGAAAGTCACTTAAATTCAGAAGAAAGAAGAAAGACAAGAGAAACAAGGAAGAGTATAAAAGAGAAAGGACGCTGAATGGAGAAATTAAAAACAAATCAGAAAAAAATTAGACATCTTGAGACCACATATGGAGGAAAAGGCAGAAAAGCCCACACATACAGGAAAATAACGTGGATAATGTGGAGGTCCACAGAGCAGCACCAGAAAACCCACATGAAAAGTATACCCATAAAAAAATTTCAACTCTTGGCATCTGGGACACCATATTTTCTAGCTTTCCTCTTATTTCTGTGCCATTCCTTCTCGGTCTGTTGTGGTTGCTGTTCTGTCTGACCACTAAACAGTGGTGTGCCCAAGGATGGCCTGATGTCCTCTTCTCTGTCCTAGGCTACACTTTCTTTTTATTTTATTTTTTCACTTTGAGGGTATGTTTATTAAAGATGGGGACAGTGACCCCGGCCCTGGTTGGTTGTGCGGGTGGCAGCCACTCGATGTGTCCCTTCACGTCGATGATTCTCTCTCTCTCTCTCCCTCCCACTCTATCCGTACAAAAAATGGAAAAATATCCTCAGGTGAGGATTAAAAAAAAAAAAAAATGGGGACAGTGAAACAAGGAAGGACTTAGCTCTAGAAGAACCAAACAGGAGAGACCCAGGAGGGGCTGCTTTAGCTCAGTGGAAGTCAGAGTAAAGGGGGCCTTGGAGACAGCTTCAGCAGGTCAGCCAGGGATGAGCTGCCGCTGCCCATTGCTCCCTTGGTTGCAAGTCTGGTGGGGACCCTAGCATTTAGGAAATGCGTGCCTGTGGGGGGAAAAGAGGGGAGGGGAAAGCATGGGCAGGCATGCTCCCACAAGGGAGACCATGCGCAACCCTCTTTAGGTGTTTCATACAAGCCCATAGTCCATGGCTTCAAATACTATTCTGACCTCTTTCTGAGTTCTAGCCTTATATCACAACTACATATTTCTTTCCAATGTCTAAGCATCTCAACCTCTGAATGTCCCAAACCTAACTCTACTAGCATTTTTCCAGGCTCGGTGTCCAGTTGATGTTTTGTTCTTCCCATGGTCAACCCTCTTTCCTCTCGACTGTCCACCTCCAGTCAATCACCAAGGCTTGATGTTCTTTCTAAAAAATGTATCTCTTCCTGGCTGGTTTGGCTCAACAGTTAGAGCGTCAGTCCACAGACCAGGTGAGTGTCCAGTTCAACCCCTGGCCCCTGGTTGGAGTCAGAGTTGTAGTCATGTGGGAGGCAATAACTTGATGTGTCTCTCACATTGATGTTTCTCTCTCATTCTCCCTCCCTCCCTCCCTCCCCCCTACCACTCTATCTAGAAAAATATCCTCTGGTGAGGATTTTTTTTTAAATGTATCTCAAATCTTGTCAAGTATACACTTACATTTTAAAAATTAAATATTGAGTAGATACACCCAACAATAATATATACATTTGTAGGGTATAAATAATATAACAAATACTGAAGTATGAACTCTGTACCCATTAAACAATAACCCTTCATCCCCTACTCCCCACATCCCATAGCAACCACCATTCTACTTTCTGTCTCTATGAATTTGACTATTCTTTTTTCTTTATTTCTTTTTTTCCTGGCTGCTTGTCATTTATTTTCCATTTGGTACAAGGCACACGGCTATGGGGTGTCAGAAAGGCTCGTATATGGCTTGGGTAGTAAAGAGCGGGGCTCTCTCAACTTCCTTTTTGGTGTTTTGCTCTTTTGATATAAAGGAATGCCACTGCTTCTGCTTGCTGCAGGCTGCCTAGTCTATGGGGTGGGGTGAGGAGGGGGAAGGGGAGAAGGGAGAGGGGGATGGCTCAAGAGAGCCCAGCACCTCCAGAAGTCTGGTGGCTGGTGACGTTCAGGATGGAGTCCTGCTCTGGCTTTGCTGGGCTGGCGGACAAGCTGCTGCCCGTGGCTCCCGCTCCAGGTCGCAGGTGACCATGTGTTGGTGGCCTGGGGAGATCCAAGTGCCCTGGGGATTCCACATTGTGGCCACGAAAGGGAGAGTGGACTTCCCAGAAAAGAAGCTTGCCCACCAGTGACCCGAGTCGGCCTTAGGGAGACCAGGGTGGTAGGGGATGGCTCCCCCAGGGTATTCAGCACTTCCACAGGAGCTGTGACTGGAAGTGGAGCCCAGGCGGCTGGTAGTAGTTGTGGGTGGCCACGTGTGAGCCGCTAAGGGGATGGCTGCCTTGCTCTTGCTTGTGGACTGGTGGAAACCTCTGTGGCAAACCCTTGTGGGCTTCAGTGCACCATCCAGTGGCAGGAACAAGGGCACTGAGGCACGGATCCCGTATGCAGAGATGGTGGAAGGCCACTCTACCACCCATAGGCAGGTGCTAAATTAGACTATTTTTGTTCCTCATATAAATGGAATCATACAGTACTTGTCCTTTTGTTACCGGCTTATTTCATTTAATATGTTTCTTTCCTTTAAAAAAATTTTTTTTCCTTCATTGATTTTAGAGAAAGAAGAAGGGAGAGGGAGAGAGAGAGAGAAACATTGATGAGAGAGAACATCGACTGGCCACCTCCTGCACGCCCCCCACTGGGGATCAGGCCCACAACCTGGGCATGTGTCCTGATTGGGAATCCAACCAGCGACCTCCTGGTGCGTGGGTTGATGCTCAACCACTGAGCCATACCGGCCAGACTGTTTCCTTACTTTTTAAGGCTGAATAATACTCCACTATATGCATATACCACATTTTCTAACATCTGGGTCACTTCTATTTAACTATTGTGAATAATGCTGCTATGAACATAAGTGTACAAATGTCTCTTTGAGTCCCTGCTTTCAGTTCTTTGGGGTATAGTCCCAGAAATGGAACTGCTGAATCATATGTTAATTCTATTTTTAACTTTTTGATGAACTGCCATGTTGTTTTCTATAGCGACTGCATGTTTTTACATCCCCACCTACAGGGAACAAGGGTTTCAATTTATATCCTCACCAACACTTGCTATTTTCTGTTTTTTTGATAGCAGCCATTCTGATGGGTGTGGGGTGGTGGCCTCTCCCCTTTGCAGGAAACAGAACCTGAGTCCTTGGCAGTGTGTGAGCCGTGGGCTGGCTCCCTCCGAGACAAGCCCTGCGCTGGCGTCTGCGCTCCTCAGTTCTGCCGTAGGTTTGTGCCTGGTTTATACGTTGTTCACTGCACTGCCAATACTGCATCCCAGTCTGTGGCATGTATTGCTCACATTTTAACTATTATTTATTTACTTATTATTTTTTAACAATCCTCACCTGAGGATAGTTTTTCATTTGTCTTCAGATAAAGAGAAACATTGACATGAGAGAGAAACATCGACTGGCTGCCTCCCACATGACTCCGACCTGGGCCGGGGACCAAACCGCAACCGAGGTATGTGCCCTTGACCAGAATTGAATACGAGACTCTTGACAGTGGCTGAAATTTCTGTTCAACTCTTGCTTTTTCCTGGGTTCCTTAAAATCATGCCCTGTGACTTCAAGGCTAGCAGACAGCCTAGGGTCTGAGAGAATTTATATGCAGATTTCAGAGTCCCCCCTCTCTAGGGATTTTACCCTTTGTGTCCAGCCACTCTGGCAGCCTAGAACTCCAAATGTATGTCGTCGTTCCACTGAGACTTTGTTTCAGTTCTCACCTCCATGTGCCTCCACAACTGAGAAGTGCCTTCAAGTGAAAAGCCAGATACTGGCATTTGCCTCCCTTCTTTCAAGGACTGTGCCGTCTCTAGTTCTGCCTGCTTTTAATTGCATGCCAGACCTTCAGAGAGAGGCTTTCAAATAGATGTCCAGGGCTAGTAAATGTCATTGGCAGGAGCATTAGTCAGATACAAGCTCTTCTATTGTTCCAGAAACCAGAACTTTCTCAATGTGTAAATTTTCATTATTCCTTTTTAGTCTAGTGCAGGTCAAATAGGTGAACATTCTGCTGACCTGGGAATGGGCCTGGAATATGAAAACCTTGGCACTTCAGAGGTGATGCAAGGGAATTAGACACTGCTATTAAATGAATACTAGCTAGTTGTTTAATAATGTTTCTTTTTATTTAAAAAAATCTCTTAACCTAGGGCTAATTTTGGCCCTCAAACAACTTGCTGGTTTGAGGATGCCCAGGATCTCCTCATCCATCTAGATCATTATCATAAAAAGAAACAGGTCCTATTGAATAACCTGCTCTGGCAGAGAGAGACTGGCTGTCCATCAAAGCTGTCTTCTCTTCCTGGGCACAGAGCCCTATCTCTGAGTGGGGCTCTGTGACTAGTTCTTGCCACATTTTTTCTCTCTCTTTCCTGTCTACCTGGTAAATGATGCCTTTTTATTCTTTTCTTTCACCACAGTAAATTAAAAAATATGTTCTTATTGATTTTTTTTTAGAGAGAGAGAAAGGGAGCAAGAGATAGAAACATCGATGTGAGAGAGAAACATTGAGTGGCTGCCTCCTGCACGCCTCCTACATGAGCCTGCAACCTGACCATGTGCCCTGAGCAGGAATTAAACCAGGACCTCACAGACTGTGGGATGATGCTCAATCCACTGAGCCACACCAGTTGGGCATCAGAGTAAATTTTAAAGACACATGTTGATGAGCCGCAATATAGAAAGAGCCTGGGTCTCTAAATGACTATGTGGAGTAGAACTTCCAGACTGATATTTGATTGTGATGTGGGCAAGAAAGTAATCTTTGTGTTAAGTGACTTAAGATTTGGATTTTTTAAAATAGCAGTTATTGCTACTTAAGCTAGTAAATTTGCACAGGTGATAACCCAATTACTGGTAAAGATATGACAAAAAATTAGTCCCCTATTTCCTTTGATGATTAACAAATATAATTTTATTTATATGTAACTTACTAATTAGTAATTCTATTAGTACACTATCTTACCAGAAAAATTATAATTAGAGCTTGTCATTTAATGAGTAGAAAAATAGTTGACTTACCTAGAGATCGAATGCCTTTTTGTTCAAGAAAATGATTTAATATAGTTGTATTAAGGTTTAACATAAGTCCTAGTGCTGCAGTAAGTTTCCAGAAGCCATCCTGTGAAGTGTAGAAAACAAGTAACATTCTTAAAAATTTCATCCATAAGAAGTTGTGGGATGAATAAGTTTCCAATTATTTCAGTTCAGTTTACTAAGACATGAAACTGATAATTTTTTACTCAATATAAAATTATGTTGAATATGCTTTTTAAAACTCCTTCCTTGTGCTCACTGTCCCCCATCTACCCCAGCAAAGGGTCACTGCTTTTCAGGCTGACCTTTGTCTCATGCTGTGGGAGTGAGGTGAGCCTCCATGTGGGGACCCTAACCTTGAAGTAGACAGAGTCTGGGTCTCAGGGGACCCATACAGGGAGCAGAAGGTGGTGCCCCAGGCAGTGCACATGTTGAAGGGTCTGTGGCCATAGTTTAACAATGCCAGCAGAGGGGATATGCGCCGACCAGCACTGCACAGATGGCAGGTTGCATTTCATCTGTTCAGCCATTCCTTGTGGAGCTATTACTACTATTACCCACTTTGCAGACTGAGCACACTGGGGCACAGCAAGGTTAGGCACTTGTCTAAAGTCACACAGCTAACAACTGGCACAGGATTTAAGTCCCAGCAGTCTGGCTCCAGGGTCCACACAGAGCAGTGGCTGCTGCACTGCTCCCCACACTGCTCCTATGTGCACCTTCCAGGGGAGGGCAGCTGTCACATATGAGTTAGACACTGTTATATTCCCATTATATGGAAAAGGAAACCGAGGCTGAGAAAGGTTATCTGACTTGCCCCAAATCACCAAGCAGCAGGGCTGGGACTCAAACGTAGTCTTATACTAAATCAAGTTGGTTTTGCTACTGAGCTACTTTACATCAAAAGAAATAATTACAGATGTGAGAGAGGGCCTGTGCAGGAGGTAAGTTTTTAGGGTATTTATTAGCTTCACAAATGGAATGATTTGTGAAGTTAATAAAGACAGTCATGGATGCTGACACATATTCTAACACAGTCTTACATGAGGAGTTATATCCCCAGCACTTCTGTAGAAATATTTAGAGTATGCTTACAGTATCTGTGCTTAGCATCACAATGGGAAATTCACCTGACTTACAGTTCATCAGTTCTAGAACTTAGAAAATTAAGGTCTTTCTCTTGACCCATTCAGGAATGCTCATTTTCAACTGAGGAATATTACCATTCACTAGCATGATATTCTGGCCTAAGAGTTATAAGTAAATAGATAAACAACAGTCATCATCAGGCACAATGTTTTGTGCAATTGCCTTTTATTTATTTCTTAGCAAGATTTTCTCAATGAAGGAAGCAGTGTGTCGATTACACTCTGGCACAAGCCCCTTAACTCACTGTGACTGGTCATACACAGTTCAACGACCAGCTACTTTGAGTAGCACTGTTCTCAACTATGAAGTAAATTCCCCACACACGTTGGTGAAATACGACTAATACCTCGGTTTGCAGACTGAAGAGTTCAGGCCCGGGCACAGAATTCCTCCAGCTTTCTCTGCCGCCCATGTCATCCCCATCGTTGCTTAGTCCCAGGAAGCTTTCAGGAAAGTCTCTTGTTATATCAGATTTTTCTACCTCTTTAAAAACCGTGCTAGCCAGAAATCCTGGTGTTTCATCACTTTCTGTTTCAAAAGAACTTGAGGCAGCCAAACATGTATGCGGGAGAGACTCTGATGATGCAGTTCGCACAGAAATAGCTGATGGAGAAGCCCCATAGTGAGCAAGGCCAATTTGATGTATTGGCTGCTTGTAACTGGTGCTCAAGGGAGCTGAAGATTTTTGAAAAGGAAGAGGAAAGGAACCAGGAAAAATATGAAAGCTAGAGCCTCTGGGTGGATCAGAGGGAGCAAGTCCAGGAGAAGAGAACAAAAGATTCTGCTGAGGGAGAGAGTCCAACTCAAGGGAATTGTCAATATAAGGGCAGACCTCAGGGCCTTCATATATTTTAGGTAGATCAGACTGTCTGGAGCTAAACAAGTCACCTGAAAAAGCTGAACTATTGAGAGATACAAAAGATGGGTTCTCTAGGAAAGAACCCTCTAGGGGAGACCTTATAGAAGAAGAATCCCACCCAGGGGAAACGCCAGTAGAACGGCCTGTCTTGAGGCCTTGGTCATTCTTAGATGGACCACACTGTTTGGGACTATCAAGAAAACCAAAAAGAGAGTGTTCAGAAAGTAAGTTGGGAGGAGAGAGGCTAGCAGAACCAAAAGAGGGAGCAGCTAGGGAACTGGCTGAAGCAGGGGCAGCAAAAGAGTTGGAAACATCCAATTTTGCTGAAATGGCTTTTGCAGATACTGGTTTAATTCTTGCGTATTTCAGTGAATCTATCTGACTTAAATCCAATGGCCTTTCCACATCTCTACAATCAAAACTGTGTGTTAAAGGTTTTTCTGGGAGGTGGGAACCTAAGCCAAATACTTGAAAGCCTTCAAAAACTTCCAGCTTAGGTGATTCACGTTTTTTTTTAGTCAAACGTCGAAGTTTCTCTTGTTCATGCCATCCAGAGAATGCTGAAAGATCCTGCCCAGAAGAAAAAAGTATGATGTCAGGGAAAACAGAATAAAATGAACACTCAAGCAAATGTCCTTCCTAGTAGCTGACTTCCCAATAGTCAAGCATTTGCTTATCTCAGAGCTTTGTAAAGAGAAGCTATTCAAGATCATTTAAATGAACGCCCTCATATTATAGATATAGAATCTGAGATTTGGAGAGGATATTAGCAATAAATATATTATAGATCTTAATCTCTCTTAGTTCTCAGAATCGTGGAATTTTTGAACACCCCTTATTTTACATAATAGGAAACTGAGGACCATAGCAGTGACTTGCCCAAGATTTTACAATTAGCAGTATCATGGTTTGTAAATTAGTTCTAAAATAAGCTGGTACGTTGAAATAAATTGTTCTAGTCCATTTTACTGCTTTATAGCAATATTAAGAAAATGAAAAAACTGAAAAAAATTTTCAAAAGCTTTAAAGTAACTAAATGAATATATCTTTATACCAGAATATAAACAAAGTATATAACAAAAAGGATTGAAGGGCACTATGTTACTATTATTGTTTGAATATGATTTACCGTATTCCTTAAAAAGTTGCATGGAAATATAATGCAGTTTTATATGAATTACAAGCCCTTAAGGTATTTTGGAATTGGCTAGCCTCTAATTTTACCAATGTAAATGAGCTATTCAAAAAAGGGAATAGCTCTTTCCCACTCAGCCCAGTTTTAAGTATACATTTAAGTAAGTAATATTGAAGAACATGTGACAAGGTACACATTCCAAAATAATAGTTAAGAGAATTCAGGAGAAGATGGCAGCAGGCAGGACCGGAACAAGGGTGAGTGTGAGAGAGAGTGAGCAAGTGTGAGAGAGAGTGTGGGTGGACATGAGTATGGATGAGCAACCTTAAGCAGGGCAGAGATGCAGGGCAGAGGGTTCCTGTGATATGGACGGAAAGCATCCGGCTACTATGGTAAGCAGCTCTTCAGCGAGCTTCTCCCTGCACAGTAGGAAGAACCCGCCATTTTGGAAGATCCCTGGTCTTCCCTGGGAGGATGAAGCAGGGAGTAGCTAGGGCCAAGAGACCTGAGTCCACCAGAGCACGTTGCACCATCGGACCAGTAGACCTTACTGTGTCAAGATGGACCAGTGCACAGTAGCGGGCTATCCAGGTGCCTGCTGCAGTAGCCACAACCAGCCAGGAGTCGAGCACCATCCCCCACAGCAGAGCCTGACTGAAGCCCAGCACCTCCCCCCACAGCAGGAGTGACTTGGAGGGAATGGAGCACCATCCCCAACAGCAGCTGAGGCTCAGGAGCCAAGACACACCCCCAGCAGCAGAGGCTCCGGAGCACACATCCATCCCCATCCAGCAGCAGCACAGATCGGCAGCTGAGACCCATCCCCAGTGGCATCAGCAGAGGCTGATCAAGAGCAGTGCCCCAACCCAAGCAGCAACAAGACGCAGACAGCCAAGACCTGCATGACAGACCTGTACCAGCCACCAGTTGTCAGTCCTCCAGGACCCACAGCAGGGAAGAGGCACCACACACCAAAACAGTTTGGGAGGCACAGCAACCTTATTTGATACACACCAACCACCTGCCTACACATTCCAACATTCCTCACTGGGCCTAGAACTACAAGATTGCTAAGATGGTGAGACAAAGAAATAATACACAAATGAAAGAATAGGAGGAATCACCAGAAAAGGAACTACATGAAATGGAAGAAAGCAATTTGTCAGATAAAGAATTCAAAGCAATGATGTAAAGGGTGCTCAAAAATTTAGTGAGAACTATAAGCAACTTAAGAAGAATTATGAAGAGCTCAGTGGGAACTACATCAGCTTAAAAAAAGAGGTAGAAGCTATGAACAAAAATCAAGAGGAAATAAAGAATGACATAGCTGTTATGAAAAATACCTTAGAAAGATTCAATAGTAGATTAGAAGAAGCTGAAGACCGAATCTGCAATTTAGAAGACAAGGTAGAAAAAAACCACCCAAATAGAGCAGCAAATGGGAAAAGAAACTTAAAAGCAGGAGGAGAGTTTAAGGGACTTTTGGGACAATACAAAACATAAAAACATTTGTATTATAGGGGTACTGGAAGAAGAAGAATCAGAGAAAGAAATAGAGAACCTGTTTGAAGAAATAATGACAGAAAACTTCCCTAAAATGGTGAAGGAAAAAGTCACACAAGTCCAGGAAACACAGAGAGTCCCAAGCAAGATGAACCCCAAAAGACCCACAGCTAGATACATCATAATAAAAATGGCAAACATTAAAAGACAAAGAAAGAATTTTAAAGGAAGCAAGAAAGAGACAGAAAGTTACCTACAAGGGAGCTCCCATTAGACTGTCAGCTGACTTCTCAATAGAAACACTGCAGGCCAGAAGGGAGTGACATGAAGTATACAAAGTGATGAAAGGCAAGGGTCTGAATCCAAAGACTACTCTATCCAGCAAGATTATCATTCAAAATTGAAGGAGAAATAAAGAGCTTCACAGACAAAAAAAGCTACAGGAATTTACCACCACCAAAACAGCACTGCAAGAAATGCTGAAGGGACTGTTGTAAGAAGAAGAAGAAAGAGAGAGAGAGAGAGGGAGAGAGGGAGAGAGAAAGAAACACAGGCATAAAATAAAAATGGCATCTAATAAGTATCTATCAATAATAACCTTAAATGTAAATGGCTTAAATGCTCCAATCAAAAGACATAGAATAGCTGATTGGATAAGAAAACACAACCCATATATATATACTGCTACAAGAGACCCACCTCACAAGAAAAGACTCACACAGGATGAAAGAGAAGAGATGGAAAAAAAATTTCCAAGCAAATGAATATGAAAAACAAGCTGGTGTAGCAATACTCATATCTGATACTGTACTAGAGACTTCAAAACAAGGGCCATAATAAGAGACAAAGGAGGTCACTACATAACGTTAAAGGGATCGATCCAACGAGAGGATATAACCCTAGTAAACATATACGCACCAAATACGGGAGCACCAAAATATATTTAAAAACTTCAGGAGGACTTCAAGGGAGGGATCAATAACAACACAATCATAGTGGGTAACTTTAACACTCCACTAACACCACTGGATAGATCTTCTAGATGAAAATTAACAAGGAAACAGAGTCCTTAAATGACGAAATAGATCAGTTGGACTTAACGGATATTTACAAAACATTTCACCCCAAAGCTGCAGAATATGCATTCCACTCAAGTGCACATGGGACATTCTCAAAGATAGACCATATGTTAGGACACAAAGTAAGTTTCTACAATTTCAAGAAGATTGAAATCATATCAAACATCTTCTCAGATCACAATGGCATGAAACTAGAACTCAATTACAACAAAAACATTCAAACACATTGAGGCTAAATAGCATGTTATTAAACAATGAATGGGTTACCAAGGAGATCAAGGAAGAAATTAAAAAATTAAATTAAAATGAACACACAACAACACAAAATCTATGGGATGCAGCGAAAGCAGTTCTGAGAGGGAAGTTCATAGCACTACAGGCCTACCTCAAGAAGCAAGAAAAATTTCTAATAGATTATCTAACCCCACAACTTAAAGAACTAGAAAGCAAACAAAAAGAAAAACCTAGAGCAAATAGAAGGATAGAAATATTGAAGGTCAGAGCAGAAATAAATGACCCAGAGAGTAAAAAAAAACAATTCAAAAGATCAATGAAACAAAGAGCTGGTTCTTTGAAAAGATAAATAAGATTGATGGACCCTTAGCCAGACTCACCAAGAAGCAAAAAAAAATGGACACAAATAAACAAAATCAGAAATGAAAGAAGAGCAGTAACAATGGCCACCACAGATATAAGAAGGATAATTGAAACATATTATGAACAATTATATGCCGACAAATTGGACAATCAAGGCAAAATGGACAAATTTCTAGAAACACACTGTCTACCAAAACTAAATGGGGAAGAGATAGAAAACTTGAACAGACCAATAACAACTAGGGAAATTGAAGATGTAATCAAGACTCTCCCTGCAAACAAAAGCCCAGGCCTGGCCAGCTTCATGGGGGAGTATTACCAAACATTCAAAGAAGATCTAACACCCATTCTCCTCAAACTATTCCAAAAAATCCAAGATGATGGAAGATTTCCAAACTCATTTTATGAGGCCAGCATAATGCTATTTCCAAAACTGGATAAAGACACTACAAAGAAAAAAAAAACTACAGGCCAATATCCCTGATGAACATAGATGCCAAAATCTTTAACAAAAGGTTAGCAAATCAAATCCAGTGATACATCAAACAAATTATTCATCATGACCAAATGGGATTCATCCCAGGGATGCAAGGATGGTACAATATTCGCAAATCAATAAATGTGATATACAACATAAACAAAATGAAAGATAAACACCTTATGATCTTATCAATAGATTCTGAAAAAGCATTCAACAAAATCCAGCACCCATTTCTGATAAAAACACTCAGCAATCTGGGAATAGGGGGGTCATATCTCAACATAATAAAGGCCATGTATGAAAAACCTACAGCCAACATCATATTCAATGGGCAAAAACTAAAAGCATTTCCCTTAAGAATGGGAACAAGACAGGGATGACAACTTTCACCACTCTTATTTAACATAGTACTGGCAGTCTTAGCCAAAGCAATTAGACATGAAGAAAAAATAAAAGGGATCCACATTGGAAAGGAGGAAGTGAAACTGTCATTATTTGCAGATAGCAGGATATTGTACATAGAAAACTCTCAAGACTCCATCAAAAATCTACTAGATTTAATAAATGAATTTGGCAAAGTAGCAGCACACACAATTAACATCAAGAAATCGACAGCATTCTTATCCACCAATAATGAACTCACAGAAAGAGAAACTAAAAAAAAAAAAAAAAAAAAAAAAAATCCCATTTACCATCATGACAAAAAAATTAAGATACCTAGGAATGAACTTAACCAAAGAAGTAAAGGACCTCTTTACAGAAAACTACAGGTCAC